TACACAGATGATACAACTTTGCTTGCTGCAAGTGAGGATGACTTGAAGCACTTACTGATGAAGATTAAACACTACAGTCTGCAGTATGGATTACACCTCAACATCAAGAAAACAAAAATCCTGACAACTGAACCAATAAAGCATCATGATAAATGGAGAAAAGATTAAAGTGGTCAAGGATTTTATATGACTTGGTTCCACAATCAACACCAATGGAAGCAGCAGTCAAGACATCAGACGACGTACTGCACTGGGCAAATCTGCTGCAAAGGACCTCTTTAAAGTGCTGAAGAGCAAAGATGTCTCTTTGAAGACTAAGATGTGCCTAACCCAAGCTATGGTGTTTTCAATCACCTGGTATGCATGTGAGAGCTGGACAATGAGTAAGGAAGACCAAAGAAGTGTTGATGCTTTTGATTTGTGGTGTTGGTGACTACTGTAAGTACCATGGACTGCCAGAAGAAGTAACAAACCTGTCCTGGAAGAAGTGCAGCCAGAATGCTCCTTGAAAGTGAGAATGGCCAGACTTCATCTCACCTACTTTGGTCATGTTGTCAGAAATGACCATTCCCTGGAGAAGGATATCATGGTTGGTAAAGTGGAGTGTCAACGAAGAAGGGGACGGCCCTCAATGAGATGCATTGACACAATGGCTGCAACAATGGGCTCAGGTATAGCAGGGATTTTGAGGCTGGCACAGGACCAGGCAGTGTTTCGTTCTGTTGTACATAGGGTCACTATGGGTGGGAGATGACTCAACGGGACCTAACAACAAAAACATTACATGGATGCAATTATGAGAAATAATTTTTATTGGTAGCTGAGGGAGCGAGGTAGCTGGGTTTAAGCTGCTGGTTGCTTTTAAAGTCACCTCCAGTGTGTCTAGTAGGCTGTCTAGTATTGGGTCAGATGCCCTGGAGTCAGTCAATGGGTCCCTTTCTATTTCATGATCATAAGAACTGTATGTGGGAGAAAAACAGTTATTGGCTGCCCCAAATATAGTTTTTTCAACTTCCTTTAGAGTAAGGATGGTGGCTGCTGCCATGGTGCAAAGGCAAGCTGGCCATCCCTTAGCAACGAAGTCAAGGTTTTTGAAAAATGGGCAGCTGGCCTCTTCGAACTTCCCGGAAACTGGGTTAAGACTCCTGTTGCTGTCCCTTGGAGCTCTGGTAGCGTATTGGCTAAGGCATTTGACCGCTAACCAGAAGGCTGTCGGTTCAAACTCACCAGCCACTCCTCAGAAGGAAGGTTGGGCAATCTACTTCCGTAGTGATACGGCCGTGGAAACCCAAGGAGGGGTCGCTATGAGTCGGGTCCAACTCGACGGCACAGAACAACGACAACAACAACAGAGTTCAAAGGGTTTGTCTAAATCTTGGAGGCCCAGAGCTGAAGCCTCCATTAGTTTTAGCTTTAAGGTGTCAAAAGCCCATTGCTGGCTCTCAGTCCACCCGAAGGGGTCAGGATCCTTATGTTCAGTGACTTCATAAAAATGGTTTTGCAATTAATCCAAAGTTAGGAGTCTAGATTTGGCAAAATCCCACCATACCCATGAAACCTCAGAACTGGTGACAAGAGCAGGGGCTTTCACCCTGCAGATAGCCTCCTTTCCCTGAGGCATCCATTCTCATCGTCTTTGGGAAATGAAAACTCCTGGGTACTTAACCTTGAGCTATCTGGCTGACACCAGTAGGTTGAATGTGGAGATGATGTTAGTCAGAGAATCGTCCTTGGTCTTCCTGGCTATTAGCAAATCATCAACATACTGCAGAAAGATCACGTTGCAGACTATATGTCTCTCAAATGGATTCATACAGCTATTCCGAGCAAGGTGAGGCTGTTTTTAAAGCTCTGAGGTAAGACTATTCAGCACAGTTGTTCTTTCGTCTCTTTTTCGGAGTCCTCCCATTCAAACACAAAAATTTCTTGGCTCCTTTCTTCCACCAGAATACAAAAGAAAATGTCCTTTAAGTCCAGATTTGAGAACCATGTAAATTGGCTTGGTAAAGATGACAACAGAGTATGAGTTAGGAACTACAGGATGAATAATCATGGTTACCTGATTGACAGCTCAGAGGTTTTGGACAAATCAGTACCCATCTGAGTTGGGCTTCTTCACAGGTCAAACTGAGGTATTGAAAGGAGATTGGCATGGCCTTAGCAATCCGTCCACCACTCGTCTCTCAGCAGGGGACCCATGATGGACAGGTTTCAGATGAGCTTCCAGACTAAGAAATAGGAAGAAGAATGTGGCCAGTTCCACTTCTGAAAAATGTGATTGCCAAGGAAACCCTCATAGGCCTGAATAGCAGTGAAACACTGTTTGATGTATTACTGGAAAGCTTTATGAATAGCCTTGAAACATCATCTGATAAAGTGCTGGAAGATGAGCCCTTCACATTGGGAGGCACTCCAACTGTGACCGGGGAAGAGCTGCCTCTTCAAAGTAGAGGTGACTAAAATGATGTGGATGGAGTAAAGCTTTCAGGACTGTCATTACCTGATGTGGCACAACTCAAAATGAGAAGAAACAGCTGTAAACATCCATTAATAACCAGAATGTGAAATGCATGAAGTATGAATCTAGGAAAATTGGAAGTTGTCAAAAATGAAATGGAACACATAAAGGTTGATAACCTAGGCATTAGTGAGCTGAAATGGACTAGTATTAGCCATTTTGAATCAGACAATCATGTGGTCTACTATGCCGAGAATGATAAATTGAAGGGGAATGGTGTCACATTCATTATCAAAAAGAACATTTCAAGATCTATCCTGAAGTACTAGGATAATATCCATATGCCTACAAGGAAGACCAGTTAATATACTATTATTCAGATTTATGCAGCAACCACCAAAGCCAAAGATGAAGAAATGGAAGATTTTCAACAACTTCTGCAATCTAAAATTGATCAAATATGCAATCAAAATGCAGTGATAATGACTAGTAATTTGAATGTGAAAGGTGGAAACAAAGAAGCACTGATAGTTGGAAAATATGGCCTTGGTGATAGAAATGATGCTGGTGATCACATGATAGAATTTTGTAAGATCAATGACTTATTCACTGCAAATCCCATTTGTCAACAACATAAACAGTGACTATACACATGGAGCTCACAAGATGGAACACACAAGAATGTGATGGAGTACATCTGCAGAAAGAGGCAAAAGAGAAACTCAATATCGTCATTCAAAACAAGGCCAGGAGCTGATTGTGGAACAGACTGTGGAGGTTATGTTTGTGTGTCAGCTTGGCTGGGCCTGGTTGAGTGGCTGGGCAGCTGGTGGTAGTTATTCCCCATGATGAGACTG